CCTGCACACTCACCTATGCACTAAACAGCAACTTCAATGTTGACACATTTTATTAGTTTGTTTAAAAACACCTAATCAAGGCAAAAATAATAGGGGTTTAGTTACATTACATGATTTTTTTTTTTTTAAATAACCCCTACCCTCTCTCCACATATACTTACCGATCACCACTGTTCCATCGCCGGTGATCTGTCTTCTTTTTAGGGGGGACTGTCTGAGCTCAGCCCAATTAAGGACCCCCAGATCCATGTGACTGCTCTAAAAGCCCTGGGCTTACCTGGACTGGCGATCTGCGCGATCACTATCGGGGGGGGGGACTGCCGGAGATCCCAGCAGTCCCCCTGCAGCAGCTCCGGCCACCCCGGCCTTCCAGGATCATGTGATCACCATGATCACATCGCTGCAATAGGAGTCTGGAGCTGCCAGCAGCTGTCAGGCAGTCCCCCAGGCTGCTAAAAAGTAAAAAAATAATAATAATAATCAGACAAGCATTTTATAATCTATTATACATATATAAAGCTTAATAGATATATATATCTCAAAATACACTTATAATGAAACCATATATATGCATTATATATGTATAATAGATTATAAAATGCTTTAATTATAATATATTATACATATATAGGAAATAAAAGTATGTGTGTATATATGTATGTATGTGTGTGTGGGTATATATATATACAAAACCAAGAGGGCTGCATACATTATAGGGTGCTGCTGGGGCCAAAATATACAAAAATACAGAATCCAGCGCACTCGCTTATAAGCGCACTGAAGCATAAACTATTACAATCTCTAAGATTTTAAATCATTGTTTAGTGAATAAGCGAGTGCGCTGGACTCTGTATTTTTGTATAATTTGGCCCCAGCAGCACCCTATAATGTATGCATGTTCAGGTGAGTGCAGCCCTCTTGGTTTTGTTTGTATATTTGCGAGTCCAGGCCAACTCCTTGGTTTTGCACCCCTCCCTGTCACTGGTGCCTCATACCAGGACCGTATTTAGCCTTGACTTGCAGAGAGTCCGAGTAAGGAAGTATTTCCCAAGTAAGTGGACTAATTTCAAGCATTAGGCTGCTACTAGGATAGGACCTGCCGAATATGAGGTACTTTGACGTAGTTGGCAGGCTTATGCAATGTATGATCATATACTGTAACTAAACCCCTATCAATTTTTGCCTAGGTGAGGTGTTTTTAAATAAAACTATTACAATCTCTAAGATTTGAAATCATTGTTTGGTGAATAAGCGAGTGCGCTGGATTCTGTATTTTTTATATATATATATATATATATATATATATATGTATATATATGTATATATATTTTATAAATTTGAAAAAAAAATTATAAAAAAAAAACAAATAAAAACGCTAACTTTGGCCACCGTTTGTGACTAAGTGGATACTACAAAAGACTTGAAATACCCTGGGATATCTACATTTGTAGATATGGTATGCCATGATGGGGTTATTTCACATTCCTGGGCTACCATATGGTCTCAAAAGGCAACACAGACGCAGCAAACCATTCTGGCAAACTGAATTGGGCAAGCGCTATATTGACCCTGTAACTTTCCAAAAGACCATAAAACCTGTACATGGGGGTTATTGTTATACTCGGGAGACTTCGCTAAACACAAATATGAGTGTTTGAAACAGTAAAACATATCACGACTAGAGTTGAGCGAACCCGAACCGCAAAGTTCGGGTTTGTACCGAACATTACGTTTTTTTGGACCCCGGACATATCACTGTATGTTCGGGTTGGAGTTGGGTGTTCAGCGATTTAATGGCGCATTTTTAAAGGCTGCAGGGCAGCCAATCAACAAGCGTTTGACTTGTTTGCCCTTAGAAGCCATCACAACCGTGCCTACTAATGGCATGGCTGTGATTGGCCAGTGCAGCATGTGACACAGGCTCTATATATAAGCTGGAGTCGCGTAGCACTGCACGCACATGAGCTATTATTAGTGTAGGGAGAGGATGCTGCAGCTGTTAGGGACAGATTAGGAAAGAATTCTGCAAACTAGTACATTAGTGGGGTGCACTTCATATCTGAGAGTCAAATAGAAGCGTCAAATAGTGCGGTTACAGCGTAATTGTAAACATTCTTATTTTCTGGGAGCTAATATGCTAAATAGTAAATTTTGGGCGTGCTCTTCATATCTGAGAGTCAAATAAAAGCATTGAATACTGCGGTTACAGCGCACTTTGACAAATTCCCATTTTTTTGCTCCTAAGAAGTACATTTCGGGCGTGCTCTTCATATCTGAGCGTCAAATAGAACCGTCAAATAGTGCTGTGACATAACAGTTTTAAGCATTCACATTTTTGGGCTGCTAAATAGTACATTTGCGGCCTGCGGTGCACTTCATATCTGAGAGTCAAATAGAACCGTCAAATACTGTGCTTTCAGCGCAGTTTGACCAATTCAAATTTTTTTTTGGGTGCTAAAGAGTACATTTGCGGCCTGCACTTCATATTTGACAGTCAAATAGAACCATCAAATACCAATATAACAATATTGTAATTCGTGGGCAATACCCTCACAAGTCAAACTGAGAGGTCAGTTTATTGGGAAAACTGTTGCATGGATACAATTCTAAAACCATTTCCATATGTCCTTTGTAGACTCTACATGCTGGAAAAACACAGGTGCCAACTGCTGTGGCTTTCTGCAGTGTGCAGATCGGCAAGGAGGGCAGGGTTGAGGAGTGGGTGGAAGATGATGTGGAGGATGATGAGATCCCACATGGAATCAAGGTCATGCAAGTGAAGTGTGCAGTTTGGAGGAAGAGGCGGTGGTCGCACAGAGGCACCAGCACAGCATAAGAGGGAGCAGGGTGCAAAAGTGGAGCGGCTGTCCCCTAGAGCTTGTCGGAATGTATTATCTTTAGAATTCCCACAGTTATCCAAGTAACAGTTGAAGCGATAAAAAGAACCATAACAGATTTAACGAGCCATTCACAGTTTCGCAGTCCAGTGACCGGGACCCAGACACTGTCTGGGCGGCGGTCAGTCAACCGGGACCCAGTATGCTTGAAGTTGAAGTAAGGAGTCACAGTGTGGAATGGATTAGCAGGGTCTGGTGCAGGGTAATCGCACGCCCCCTGGTGTTGAGCACCAGAGTTTGTGCGGCCACATACCAAGACCCTGATGCAGCTTCAGTAAAAAGAGTACTGGATACCAGAAGCCATCACCACACCGATCTGCAACTTGGAACAGGATGTGACTTTCACTGTAGCGGCTGTGCGCGCTTTCGGCGTTCTCACCCTGCTGTTGCTCGCCTGTCTGCACTGCTGCGTAACTTTGGCCTTCCCGCTCACCACCTCATATGCAACGTGCCCACAAGGTGGAACTCCACCTTGCACAAGCTGGAGAGATTGTGTGAGCAGCAGCAGGCGATAGTGGAGTTTCAGCAGCAGCACGCACGGGTCAGTCGCTCTGCACCAGACTTGCCCTCCAATTGATCAGAGTTAAAGGATTTCAAGTGGACTCATTACAATTACAGGGCCTCTAAAGAGTCCTGTATTGTTATTTGTCGTCACTACCTTACCGCGTCGGGAGTGGGTCATTTGCGTGCCTGGTAGTCGTTTCTCAGGCTCCCTCTCCGGAATCAAATCCTGATTCCCCATTACCCGTGGTCACCATGGTAGGCGCAGTAAATGACATTGAAAGTTGATATGGATGACATACGAATGCGTCATCGCCTTGTCGTTGGGGAGTAGTGATGTCCCGAACGGTTCGCCGAACGGTTCGCCACGGACGGCGAACATAAACATAAACTTTGACCCTGTACCTCACAGTCAGCAGACACATTCCAGCCAATCAGCAGCAGACCCTCCCTCCCAAACCCTATTGGGGAGCCCATTGAAAAACTGCTCTAGCATGACGAGCTGGGTGATCTCCTCCGGGAACTTGGCTTGATGGGAGTTGAGCCAGTTCTGGGTGGCCCTTGTGATGCGGCATGCCCACTCCGCATGGGAGTCCTTCTCCCCTTTCCGGGTCTCCCTAAACATTTGGCGGTATTGCTCGGGGGTGACCGCATACCAGGCCAGGAGGATTTGGGTAATAAAGGGATAGTCTCAGATCTGCTCTTCTGGTACAGCCCGGTAAATATCCGCTGCCTTCCCCACTAGTTTGCTGGCCAGGATGGTGACCCAGTCGCTGGGGTCCACGTCTTGGAGTAGGCACTGGCGCTCAAAGTCTTGTAAAAAGTCATCGATGCCTTCTTCTGCTTCCTTGAACTCTTTGAAGGCATTGTATGGTAGCTTGTGGGACAGGGTGGTTGTGCTTCCCTGCGCCATCTGCTCCCTTCTTCCTTCATCTGGGTTCATGGAGGTCGCCCTCAGTCTATTGGCAAGGACATAGGCTTGCACCTCCAAAAAGGTCCTGCTGACAATCTCCTCTGAGGGTGGCTCTCGGTAATATGCCAGGCGCCGTTACACCTTCTTGTGCACTTCCTCCTCATCTCCGGCCCCTGGCTGGGGTTTGTTGCCTCACTGCATGCCTGGTCATCCTCCATGAGCGCAGCAGTCAATTCTGCCTTGTTACGCCCACCAGGCGTTATTCCACTGGCTCCACACAAGTCCTGCAGGTCACTTTAGAGCACTGTACTCCATGGGTCTGTTGGCAGGGACATGGGATCCCGCCGCTTGCCACCAATTGAAGCGGGACCTGGGTAACCGATGGTTATCCCCTTTGATTAGAATAGGTCAGACCCATTTCCCCAGTAACCAGATGGGACACAGTTCCAGAATACAACGTTTGACAATCTTTATTTGGGTACACAGCTTTGCCTCTTGTTGCCTCTTACTACTCAGCTTCTTCCTCCTCCTCCTCCTCCTCTACCACCTCCTCATCCGGTCAGCGTAACACCTTCACCACGAACTTCAGCACAGCCAGGGGGAAACGACAGCAGGCTGTTTTCAAACGCATATGTTTGGGGGAAAAACTCCACACCGCGCAGGAGCTGCGGACGGGCATGGAACAACAGACCAATGAGTGGTTGTTGCCACTAAGCCTCAAGCCCGGCCTGGTGGTGTGCGATAATGGGCAAAATCTCGTAGCAGCTGTGCGCCTAGCCGGTTTGACGCACATCCCTTGAATGGCGCATGTGCTGAATTTGGTGGTGCAGAAATTCCTGAAAAACTACCCAGATATATCAGAGCTGCTGCAGAAAGTGCTGGCCTGTGCTCGCTTTTGGCGTTCTCACCCTGCTGCTGCTCGCCTGTCTGTGGTGCATCGTAACTTCAGCCTTCCCGCTCACCATCTCATCAGACTGTGCGAGCAGCAGCAGGCGATAGTGGATTTTCAGCTGCAGCACACAGGGGTCAGTCGCTCTGTGGAACAGTTTTCTTTTTTATATGTCCCACTTTTTAGGGTACTACCCCAATTAAAAAAAAACAAATTAAAAAAACAGTGTTGGCTACCTCCTCCACCGCCGCATCCACCTACACCGCCTCCTCAACCTATGGGTCACTTAGTATAAACTATGTACACAATAGCAGAGGCTTGTCAATGGCCTTTTCTGTATGCATCAGGAGTTGAGCTCAGTTTGAACAATGAAAGAGAATACCCTGCACTCCAGCCCTCTATCAAATGGATAATTCTGGTGATCCTCCTGACAGCCATGCTTTAGATTTTGATTTATGTTCTTCTAAAGCTAAAATCAAAGATTCCATCTAGTGCTATTTTATGGCTCAGCTGTATTTTTAATTTTTATGTTATTTTAAGTGATTTCCCTATCCACATTTGTTTGCAGGGCACTTGTCCTACTCTTACCCCCATTTTACTTCCTTTTGCAGCCCTCTAGCCCTTTCCAGGATTTTTTTAGACGCATTTTTCTGCCCAAAAGTTCGGGTCCCTATTGACTTCAATGGGGTTCGGGGTCAAGTTCGAACCCGGACTTTTCTTCAAAGTTCGGCTGAACCTGCCGGACCCGAACATCTAGGTGTCCGCTCAACTCTAATCACGACTATGAAATCACCAGTAAAAGTGCAGTTTTTGTGTAAAAAAAAAAAAAATGCAGAAAACAAATATGATCGCTAACTTTGGCTAAGTGGCTACTACAAAAGACTGGACATTCCACATTTTGAATACCGTGGGCTGTGTGCTTTTACAAATGGTATGCCATCATGGGGTTAATTTTCATTCCTGGGCTGCTATATGGTCTCAAAGGCGACATAGGCCCAGCAAACCAATCTGGCAAATTTCAACATGCAAACATCGAAAAGGGGAAAGCCCTACATTTGACCCCTGTAAGTCTGCAAAAGCCCATAAAACCTGTACATTGGGGGCACTGTTGTACTCGGGAGATGTTGCTTTGTCAGTAACACATGCCTAAAGTACAATGTGAGAGAAAAATAACACACAAAAATGACTACCCAAAAGTTTGACAAAGACTGGCGGTAGAATTAGTGCATGGAAAGTGTTAAAATACCACCATTTGAAATACCCTAGGGTCTCCACTTTTCAAAAATATATGGTTTGATGGGGATAAATTACATTGGCCAGCTTCAAAAATGTCCCAAATAGGACATGGATGCATGATGACCATCTGTGAAAATTCCAAGTTGGAAGAATGGAATGCGTACCCTCCAAATAAGATCTTTTAGCTCCCAGAGAACCCAACACACCCATACATGGGTGATATCAATGTACTCAGAAGATGATGCTTGGCAGTAACCCTTAAAGTTTTCCATACATGTATTCTTAAATTGCTATGTGTGTCAAAAAAAATCACCAATTATGTCTTTTACATTTGGCATAGATTGGTGGTAAAATGGTTGCATGAAAAGAGTCAATATACCCCAAAGTTTAATACCTTAGTTTGTCTTATTTTATAAAATATATACATGTGAAGGGTTATTCAGGGATTCCTGACAGATATCAGTGTTACAATGTAACGTGTTAATTTTGAAAAAAAAATGGTTTGCAAATACTTGTACTTATAGCCCTATAACTATATATTTCTAAACTCAGGACAAAATTTAGAAACTATTTAGCATGGGTGTTTTATGGCGGTTGTAGATACGTAACAGATTTTGGGGGTCAAATTTAGAAAACGTGTGGGGTTTTTTTTCATCATATTTTAAAAACAATCTTATAGTAAATTAGATGATATAATGGTATCTTTAGAAAGACCGTTTAATGGCAAAAAAGGGTATGTAATATGTGTGGGTACAGTAAATCAGTAAGAGGAAATTACAGCTAAACATAAACAATGCAGAAATATAAAAAGAGCCTTGGTCCCTAACGGTAAGAAAATTGAAAAAAATGGTCTGGTCACTAAGGAATTAAAACCCTATTGGCGCCAAAAATTCTAAATTGGGGACCCCAATTTACTTTATTGTCCAATCGGGAGTCTCCTCCTCCCTTTACACCTCTCGCGGTCGCCATATTGGTGCTCACGAGGGTTCGCAACGTAACATCCGGTTGTGGCTGTTATTTGTTCCAGAGGTCATTTTATGCATTCCGTTGACTGTTATGTGTTCCAGTGGAAATCTTACGTGTTCCACTGATGCTGTATTTCCTGGTTTAAGTGCATTTGTCATTGTGAATCATTCCCATTCCTTGAGGCTCCTTATTCACTTACCCCATTAAGTGTATTTCTATACCATGACACCTACATAAGTCCAAAAAGGCAATTAGAGAGTCCTCAGTCCATTACATTTAAAGGCACATTGCGCATATAAAACATGGATAAAATGAAGAAACCATTATAATAAGCATATCTCGTAGTGCAAAAATAATACAAATGTGTATATATAAATTGCACTTTTAATTGAATAAACTTGTATACTAAAGTGCTCTTCTTTAATATAGTTACACATATCAAAATCTGTATTTAAACCATATAGAGACAGAGTTTCTAAATTGAAGATCCATTTCATTTCTGTTTTATTTATGATCTCCATATCAATAAAGTGCAATAACTTAAAATCACAATTATGGGCTTTTGTAAAATGAGCAGATACTGAATGTGTTAAAACCTTATTAAGGATATTCCTTAGATGTTCACTAAGTCTCACCTTTAGTGGCCTGGCAGTTCTCCTCACATATTGGAGACCACATTCACACATTAATATATATATAAACGTTACTTGTACTACATGTAATAAAATCATTAATAAAATACTTTCTCTTTGAAACATTGGAAAAAAAATTGTTTTGTTTTTTTAGAGATACCATTAGTGGTTTTGCACGCCTTGCATTGACCACAATTATAGAATCCTTTTAATTTAGTACCAGAAATATTTGCATGAAGCATTTCTTTTTTGGGATGCAACTTTTTGTTAAAATATTTTTTAAATTGCTCACTCCTCTGTAAACAATCTTTGTTTATCTCCAATATACATATTCAAGTCCTCATTTTGTTTTAAAATACTTTTAAAAGGATGAATGTGAGAACTAAAATTCCTTCTTACAGTTTCTCTTTAACCTTGTAAATTGCGTCCATCAAGTTCAGCCTTCCTCACATATGTTGTTGCTGTTGATCCAAAAGAAGGTAAAACACGTGGTCTGAAGTGCTTCCAATTTTGCCACAAACTAGGAAAAAATTCCTTCTTGACCCCAAAATAGCAGTCAGATGTCTCCTTGGATCAAGCAGCTATTACCCCACTAATTAGAAATTATATCCCTGTATGTTATGTTTTTGTAAGTATTTATCCAATTTCAGTTTAAACATCTGTATGGACTCTGACAAAACCACCTCTTCAGGCAGAGAATTCCATATCCTTATTGTTCTTACTGTAAAAAAACCTTTTCTTTGCCTTAGATGAAATCTCCTTTC